CCCTTTGTTCCTAGTAGCTTCCTGTTACTACTAGTAAGGCACTTGTTACTACTACTAGCGTGGCACTAGTTCCTAGTAGCGTTCTTGTTCCTAGTAGCGATGCCCTTTGTTCCTAGTAGCTTCCTGTTCCTAGTAGTATGGCCAGGATCCCCTAGTAGAGTCTCCACTGTGGCGATGCCCTTTGGCGAGCAAACTCTCAAAGCGTGAGGAGTCGAGGTGTTTCGATGGTGTATTGGAGACCTCAAACCAGCGTAGAATACCAAATCCTTCCATGTGTCTTCAACGCCATGCTTCAATCTCAGGTTCTAGCTCTGCAAAGCAACCTGAAGCATGACACTAAGGCTTCACTAAGGTCACTAAGGCACATGAAGGCTACGCTGAGGTCTGATCTGGTGGTCCACTGACAATAGTCCGCCTCTGTGAATGTTGGTTTCCATTGTCTGTGGTTTCTGAGGTTTGGGGCCACCATTGTACAAGACTGTTTTTCATCCATGCCAAACCAGGTCTCTCCGCACCCATGTGAGTAGCCGTTGGATGGTCCTTGGGCGCATTGCCATAGGACATCGTGGTGTTGCGATTCTTCCCGGCCTGCCTGTCGATCTGAAGCACACCCACACTTGCGGGGCAGAGAGGGGAGTGGTTCATTTGAAACCTTGAATTCGCATCCATGCCAATGTTGAACAGTCCATTCTCTATCCTGGACTATGACAATCCTTCTTTCATCTTCCCCTTGAAAGAAACACCCGGTATTGACCATCACTCCGTGATCCCACAGGCGGCCCCCACGAGCGCTCTCTTTCGTCAGTGAACTCTGGCCAGGTGAACCTGGGGGATGGCGGTTCCAAGTTGGGCGCTTTGTTCAAAGCAACCTCCAGCTTGCCACTGTTCCTGGCAACATCGACAGGGTGATCCACAGTCTGAAGAAAATTCATAGATTGTTTTTTCCCACGGATCTAATTGCACCTGGCCTTCCATCAGCATATAGTGACAATGTGAAGTGTCAATCGATGATGTGAATGGCGCGATGTGCCCAGCTCCATATAAAATAACGATTTCTAGCAGTTCTAGCATTTCGTCACATATTGGACAAGTCTGTGGAAGCAAAGACCTTCGCAACGTCCGTAACTTGGCAACCGGAACTGCTGCACTTCCCACGTGCCATTGCCAAAGGGACGGGACGTTCTTTATTATTGGTGCAGTCGTTTTGCTGCCTTAACGCCTTACCTCAAAGCGGTTAAACCATGGGTGTATGTCCCATCAGCCCAGAGGCAATAATAAACATATGGTCATTGATCAGGATTCTTTCATCCTGGAATGCCATTCTTCGCGGAAAAATATCTTTCGCGGATCTTTCGCGGCCTCATCACAAAGCATGGTCATAGGATCACAAAATAGGGACAAACATCTTGCCGCATGACCCCTCAGGGTCACTTGCAGCATCTGCGCGACAACTGTGCCAAATAGAATCAGGCACAACTCAACCCAATCCCCGTGCCAGCTACCAACACAGGGTGATGCAGCTTGGGGACTGTTGGGGGCCCTCAAGCTGGGAACCTGGACTTTAGCAGCGCACTCGCGAAACTTTCGCGAAACTTCACGGGTTATTTCCCTGGGAAGGCGAATTATTTGCATACATTTGCAAACATCTGCGCAGGCTGTCAGAGCAGCTGCAGGTCGTTGCCTCACTGTTAGGGCTGTGCCTACTCAGGTTGCTAGTCTGTGAGTGTGGGGACAGGAATAGGAGAATCCTTTCTTTACGCACTGCCAGGGCTGGGCACGGAAATGTGAGGTTTCAGTTCGTTAGTCTGTGACACTGGGGACATGCAGGGACACTTCCGCCCACCGGCTCTGCCGCAGGATTGCCTTGTATTTCTATTCTTTGTCTGTCGGTAGAAAGGAAAACATATGAAAGCGATGACCTTTGATAAATCTTTTGCGGATGGCTTTAACGGCATCTGAAAGGCTGTTTTATATAAAACTCCTTACACGGGGGTTTGGATCAACTCCCATATAGAGAAGCAATGATAGACAGTATGTATAAAAACAGCCAAGTCATGCTGAGTCTATATATATAAATCTGTTTGATCCTTCTGTTTAGATATCTTTACTGTACTTTACCCTTCCCCGTCCACTCAGCTGGTTCGATCGGTCCTCCAGCACCAACAGCAGGGCTCCACAAATTTTGAGGTCTCCAACTTCTCGCTACCGGGCAGTTCAGAGCTGCTGACCACGTGACCTCAGCCGCCGTACTGGCACACTGGGGACACATCAAGGCAAGTCCCACAACATGCTGAATTCTCTGCGAGGTCATGGATGATGAGGAAATCTTGGGAAGAACTGTGCAATAATTGCTTTACGGACCTGTTGTTTCTGGTTCTTGCGTGGTCTCGGTCACCCTTTCAGCTATACAAAGTCCCTTGAGTGGGTCTTGCAAAACGTATTGTTGGCAGCACACTAGTAAGCCACACTGACAAAGGAACAAGCCACTGATTAACCTCTGCAGGTTGTTGATATTCAACTACTTTTGACCCCCTCCCAGGCCCTACAAGTACCAGGACAAATTTGACCTCGAACATCCACACCTCGCACCATCCCTTCAGAATGCTGCAGTATGGTGCAGTTGAGCAAAGGTTGGAGGCTCCAGGAGTCGTCATGCTGCAAGTGTTCTTTGACAGAAACTTTCACAATCTAGAAACAGCTGTCTCTAGACAACTCTCACTCTGCTAGACTACGTTTCAATCAGATGTAGGAACCAAAACCCAGCTTCCCAGCAAGCAGGTTCATACTGCGTGGGGAATTGGAAGCCCATCGTGTGGAATGGAATGGCACGCCAGGCAGAACCCTTTCCCTTGAGCGCGGAGCAAAGCCGACTGCATCTTGGTGCCCAGACTGCCTACGACGATCTGGGTCCAGTACCCCTCCGGCATAAAGAGCTGAAACTCCAAGGGCCTCGTTTCTACGGATCTTGCTTCACAAATTAGAACACCACAAGCACCAAACCCTGACTCCTTGACACTGACTCATTGCAAGCTCGGAAACGCTTGCATGCACACCCGAAGTCTCGTGCGAAAGAGTGGGGATGCATGGCCAGGCTGTGTTGGACATCGTTTCGTCATCATCTGTCCATCTGTTCCTCTGTTCGAAAACTGAGGAGAGTTCTGTCAAGAGTCAAAACTGTTGGTCTTCCTCCTCCAAGTCAGCATGTTTGTGGTCGGCCGAATGCCGTTCCAAAAACATCGAAAAAGACTCTTGGAAGAAAACCACACAGCACCGCAAGTAAACCACATCCGTTCAGAAGAAGTGCCGAGACGACATCATCCTGACGAATACTGGCTCTAATGTGGCCCTCAGATTTATAAACCCCCTAGAATTATGTCTTTTTTTTCCCTGCACTGATTTATAAAGGCCCCTAGAATAATGTTTTTTTTTTTTTGGAGGGGTAGTTGTAGTGGATTTTTTTTTATTGTTATAGTTTACTTTTTCCCTTTTGAATTTGCTGGGATTTGCTTATCTTACAGGCTTTTGGATTGAGATTTCTATTAAACATTTGGAGAGTTCCATTGAGATTTGCTTCTTTTGGAGGCTTTTGGATGGAGATTTCTATCCAAAAATTTGAGATTTCCATTGAGATTTGATGCTTTTGGAGGCTTTTGGATGGAGATTTCTATTGAACATTTGGAGATTTCCATTGAGATTTGATGCTTTTGGAGGCTTTTGGATGGAGATTTCTATTGAAAATTTAGAGATTTCCATTGAGATTTGATGCTTTTGGAGGCTTTTGGATGGAGATGTCTATTGAAAATTTGTAGATTTCCATTGAGATTTGATGCTTTTGGAGGCTTTTGGATTGAGATTTCTATTGAAAATTTGGAGATTTCCATTGAGATTTGATGCTTTTGGAGGCTTTTGGATGGAGATTTCTATTGAAAATTTGAAGATTTCCATTGAGATTTGATGCTTTTGGAGGCTTTGGTATGGAGATTTCTATCCAAAAATTTGAGATTTCCATTGAGTTTTGATGCTTTTGGAGGCTTTTGGATGGAGATGTCTATTGAAAATTTGG